CAAGAAGGTACCAATAGGTGAATTCTTCAAGTTACCTTGGAGTCTAATTTGTTGTACCTGCGTAGGTTCATGCCTCGTTGAAGAACATGAAAAAAGAATGTGCGAGGCTACGGTGACCCACTTAACAGAAAAACCGAAATTGCGATGCTTGAGTTCCCGTGCCGATTGCTGCGCTGCGTTCGCTTTTCGCACTAAATGCAAACTGGAGTCGCTCAAAGTAGAGCCCATTCTGTCCTTGTCTTCACTGCGCCCCTCTCATTGGATTAGCCGACTAAATCACTATCTAACATAATATAGTAAGGTCGGGTCGATCTCATTGATTTCTTTTTTTCCGTTTTAACAGGCGATATGAAGTCGGACGCGTTCCTCCAATTCTCCGGTGCCGCTGGTTTCCGACCCAACTCCTTCAAGGATCGTTCTCCTCAATCCCGAGGTGGAAATCTACCCCCCGATGGAGGCGACAACCATGTAAGCGCCTTTTTTTCACCTTCACCTATAACTGCTTTTTGCACCGATTAATTTGCGCACTTATCTCCACCTTAAACTTAGCGGTGGCGTTCTCATTCGTTGATGGATTACACGTCTTGTGGTGTTGGTTAAATGGGGAGGACTTTCTGAGCTCCAGGCTTCCACGCATTCACCACGATCGATACAGTTGAAAACGTCGCAGCTGGTGCTTTTTTGTTACTTCACAGGCAGGCAGGCGTGGTGTTGTGTGGTGTTTGGTTCTTAGGGGCGCGCTACCATTGGCCACAACAAATGCGTAGTTGATGTAACATATTACATTTATTGTCATAGTAAGGCCTCCCAATCATTCCCACTGAGTTGATCTCTGTCGAGGAGTACGACAGCTTAACGGGTTTCGAGGTTGTTGCGTGCGTGCAGTCTTGCTCTCCATCATTTGGCGTGTCGCAAAAAGGTGACACCGGTGGTGGTTCAATTTTCACCTGGCTGTTTATGGCCTCAGCCTCTTTCATCATCGTGGTTGTTGGTAGAACGGTGGTTTATGCAGGCAACATATATGCTTGCACATAATCACACCTGCGCATTCTAGTGCGTCTTCGTGACTCATACTGCGCTCCTGGCATGAGATCCACCCACAAACCCGATCACTTGCGTAGCAGTGTGTACGCATACGCTCGAAATACCACTGTTTCATTTTACAGCCTCAGAGCCAAAGCATAGGCTGTTTTTTTATCCTTTTCAATTCATCAAATACAATCGAAAGGTATCAACCGTGCCGATTGTTCGTTATATTCTGTTTCTTCAAAAATCTACCAAGTTGAGCTTTTTTACAGCGTTGCACTTCAATCCATGTGGACTGGCCCATCCTCCAAGTTTAACGGAAATCACCGGCAGTGGCCGGAGTTGGTTCAAAGGGAGCCAGTTAGGTTTTGGCTTGAGCTACTGGATCGTAAACACACATACAAGGCGCCTTTGAGAGCTAGGGTGGGTGGTGAGTGTGGTCGTGTCTTCCTTTCTCTTGCTCCCTCGCCCTCGTTCTACCACCTCTTACCCAGTCTGAATAAGCAAGTCCACCCGCCCATTAATCATTGCGAGAGTTGGGGCTGTAACAACAATAGTAGTAGTGTCCAGTTTTTCTCCACATACCTATACCCCTTCCGCCTCGCTTGTGCCCTCAGTCATATGACAACAACAGACCTTCTCCTCCTCTTTCGTGTGTGTGTGTGTGTGCCTAGCCTTCTTCCGTTACCTCCTCTAGAAGAAGTGGAGGAAGAGAAGGAGTAAGACGAGGCCTCCGCACGTTTGCCCGCAGAGGTATGATGAATTGCTGGCGGGTGAGAGGGGAAGAGAGAAACCTGGGTAGCGAGGAAGAAGAAGAGGCAGAAATGACATCCAAGAAAGGAAAAAGATGGCACGGTTGTACAAGTAGGCTGAGTGCGTGTGTGTGTGTATTACGCAGGGCATCTCACAAAACCACAATGTCGCAAGCCCGCGTGTGTACGTAAGTGTGCATGCACCAGTACACCGAAGTGTCATGATGTGTGCACTTGGTGTGCGTGTGTGTGCGTCGCTTGATGCGATAATTTATGAGACTGCTACCGCTGCCACCGCCGCCGCTATCGCTGTTACTACTACTGCTGCTGCTACAATGGCTCACACACACAACCAGCTTGCTTACATGGCTGGCTAGCGAAAGGGAAAAAACTGTGTCGGCAGGGGCGGACTGATGCGGCAAAGGCCTTGGAAGCTAGCACGGAGGTGGTGAAGTTGAAGAAGGTGGAGTGGGTGGGTAGATGCAATCCCGTGAGCCACGAAGCACACTGGCAGTAGCAGCAGAAGCACCAACAACGGCGGTGTAGGCGGCTGCGGCAGCGGTATGCACGCGCTTTATGCAAAAAACCGTCGACTGCTTTTTACGCGCCTTCCCGCCTGACACGTGCTTCTCTCTCTCTCTACCTCACTCTTTCTGTGTGTATGTAGGCACGAAAAACATTCCCCAACTGGGAGGCTAGGAGGGTATGAGTTGCCACATCGTAAACACAACCCTTCCCTCCCCTTTCTCCCCTTCGCTATATTACTGGTGGTATAATCGACCCACATACATACACGAGCGTGCGCATAATAGGTGCCAGTCTTGATGTAGCACCATTACATGGCTCATGTAGGCAGGTTGCCAGGACTTGTGTTATTTGTCTACCCGTTCTTATACCTGAGACCACCCTTTGCACGTGAGCATGCCGCGTGTATGCGCGTGTGTGTGATGTGCGTATGAAAGACGTTTTTATGTGAGGATTTGCCTGTGATCTGCACTGGGGTCGGAACTGGTGGTAGTGTTGACGCCAGCACACAGGCCTAGGCGATTGATTAATGTCTTCAGTGGCGTTGTGCGTAAAAGCGATTCTCCTCGCCGTGGGAGGGTCTTCTGCAGCATCCCGCGTGCCTTCTGTGTAGGGGGAGAACGTCGACTTCACTGGCAGAAAACACAAAACGTGAATTTACTCCAGTCTACCATTGCCACCAAGCCATATCATGGCTTTATTTGAACTACTGACGCGAGATTTAGGTGACAATACCGTCTTGTCTTTGTTTTGCAGATCCATGTTTTCACTACAGACGGATGCTGTCAATGCGCCAACGCATTCTAGCATTTTGATACGATATAATGGTTTGATTGGGTTTTGCTTCATTGAAAGGTTGCCTCGTTCATTTCCTGTTATGGGAACTCCCAGTAGATTTCTAAAACGCTCTTATCCCTATTGAGTGAATCTAGACTACCCCTTTAGATGACTGCTAACGTACATAAATTTTATGACTGACTGACAAATAGCAATCATGGAGTGGATCCCACATCACCAAACTCCTTTAACGTCACCGATTGAGTATGTTGTATCAAAACTAGTGTCTATTTTTACATGACAATGGGGACTACACACATGCACACACATTAACATCTCCTAGCAACTGCATGCGTCTCCTTGTCCTCCGTTAGTCCAAATCGACTGACTTTCCAGGAACGAATAGGTCTGGCGTATGTTAGGGTTTGGCACACCACTTGGTTACACAGCAAAGCTGAACCGGGAAATTCACAGTGTGCATGCCAAGGTATCACTTGTGTGCTTCACCCCTTTTCCACTGTCACTGTTGGATGCGAATGTCGCCGTCGACTTTCATCGTCTTGCGCGCGCATGCGTGCACATACACACACTGCTGCTGCTGCCGTTGCTGTTGCACTTCGCTTCGCCGAGGCCTAGCATACCGCACGCAGTGCGCTGCCTACTGTGTGTGTGGATGTGTGCGCGCGTGTGTGTGTTCCGCCTTTGGGACGAGTGCGGACGTGTGTGTCCCGGTGCGGGTACGTGGGTGCTTGAATGAATGGTACTCGCTCGGAGGGACAATGCGCGCAAGGGCGCACGTGCACACACACTGAAGCTCGAGAACACGAGGCTCGCCTACTATCTGGGTCACACGAACACACCAAGCTGCCTGTTTTATGCAATCCTAACTCTCTCTCTCCCCTGCTTCGGAACCTTGTACGTGATGTTGCGTTTGGCTAAGGTTGCCAAAGGTCTAATCGGGGACATGATCTCTTCACGTTGCCTTCCCTCCCTCCTCTCCCACGTTTGGGTTATCTCTCATGTCCAAGTTTGTTTTCCGTTGATTAACTAGTTTTCGCGGTAAGAATTTCGTCCGAAGTCCACGTCGACTCCTCTCTACGCATCGATCTTGGTACATTGATAACTGTGCTGTTTCTTTACTCTCTACGTAAGTCACTTTGGCGGTAGGTTTTAACCCTAAGGGATGTTGGCCTTTAAGTTGATCAATCCACTTCGATGATGGTCTGAGCTTCACAAGTCCGTGAAGAGTGGCAATACTATTGGCTACTAACCGGGCTGCCTTCTCAGCAGAGTATTAGCAACAGTAGCAGGAGTGGCAGGCAGGCAGGCAGGCAGGCGCATGTGAGCGGGAATGTGAGGAGGAGGAGGCGGAAGAGGGGGGACGGAAGCAGAAGATGGGGTGACTAATGTCTGCGGGAAGGCAATATGAACTCCCCTCTGACTCAGTTCATTCTACTTCCTTTTTCAGTGTTTGACGTTGAAGCGTTCTAGGGTTATACCTGACCGCCACAAGGTTTTGGAACTCATTGATTGTGTTGCGTAAAAATATCAAACCGATCAACCTTTAACGGCGATGTTGTTTGTGATTTGATAGTAGTCCATTTAGAGACGGGAGAAGTGTTCGATTTGAGATTTTATTAGCCCACAAAACAGAGGATAGGGAGAAGGAGGAAGAGGCATAGCGATCCAATTGGAGAGAAGTATGCAGCCTCTGACTATGTGTTGCTAGTCCGCGAAGGAATGAAGGAAGAAGGGAATGCGAGAGGAAAACACCGGCGCTAGTAGAACGAATATGGGGAAGAGGACAAGTACAAATAAGTCACCAGTGGGACAAAAAATAGCCCCAAAAAGTCCTGACAGCAGGCCTAACTTGCGTGTGCGCAGGAGCAGTAACATCATCATAAGCAGTGACAGCAGTAGATGTACAGCAAGAGGGGAGTGGAGGCGAGGCACAGTTGGCGGAGGCGACAGCAGGGCATTAGTCCACACATGGAGGCACGGGTCTATGCGCGAATAACCACCTCATCTGCTCACACACCCACAATTGAGCTTTCTGCCTCGGCTTGAGGCAACCAAAAAGGCCGTCTGATTTTTCGTAGGACGACAGATTTTATGCGTGGTGTGTGAGCCTGTTGTACCCCCCACCCCCGGTCTCCTCTTTTACTTCCTCCTCCCTCTTCTCATTAGCGCACTTACACGATGTGGGTTGGTTGGAGAGGAAGGTAGAAAGGCGAGGAGGCGGGGGCAGTAGCGATTCGGCGATGTGAATGATCACTGCTGGGGGGCGTACGAGCGCGCACGCGTGCGCTCCCACACGTGCTGTGACAGATTTGTGTTGGTGGGCTGTAGGCCACTGCTACAGCTGCCTCTTTTGCTGGAAGTGATGGTGGGTCTGGAAGCCTGCGCACACGCACATGCACCACACACGCGTACCACCCCACCAACCCTCCCGTCTGTCCGCAGGTGTTCGGCAGAGTGGTATCAGCAACAGTCGTCCCTCCACCACCCCCGCCATCACACTACCGTTCTCTATGCCCGCTGCAATGCAATCACTGTCGCGCAATCTCGCACACACACACTGCTACTGATGTTGCTGCGTGTTTGTGCGGTGCACCACTCCCCCTCTCCCAATTGCGTGTGGGTAGGCGATCCATCCCGCCGCTCACCAAACCCTCTTTGTTCCCTCCCATTGACTGTCTGCCTGTCCACCCGCCTCCCGTCTGATTGAGCGTTTAGAAGCTGAAAAGAAAAAAAGTCAGCTTCTCTTGCTCCCTTATTCTTAGTGGAAAGTCGGAAAAGAGTAACACATTGACCCACATCTTTCTCGAAACTATTTCTTTCTCCCAATAATTTCGAAGAAGAAAGGTGATTGCTAGCTCGGCGACGCTTTATTGTCCCCACTGCATCCATTAACTCTGCTTGACTAGCTCTAATTCCGCCCTCTTGTCTCATGGGACACACCATACTCAGGCGTAAAGTGGCAGAATGATTCATCGGTCTATCTGTGGGTTGATGGAACGGTTGGAGTGAGTCCTCTCGTTTCCTGGATTCCCTACTCCACTCCTTCCCATGTAGATAAAATAGAATTTATCTCACAGTGCTTTCGAATTATTTACCCAATTTCGAATGTTCTACTCATTGTCTAGACGAAAAGTGTCGTGATACTTAGAGGCATTTAGATTACTACGTTGTGGATCCAAGTTTCAACGTACAGAGACCGTAAATCTCTTGAATACACGCTTCTCATGAAAGTTTGGAACCTCGTTTCACATCCTCGCTTTATCATCAGCATGATCTGGATCGCAAACGTGATCGACCGCCTGATCATTCATCTTACTTGGAATCACCATGGGTCTGCATGAAGATCACGACGAATTCTGGTAGTCTAGACACTTGTTAGCTAAAAGATGCCTTTTTTCCAACTATTCCACTTTGAGTTTATTGTTTTGAAATATATTTCTTGGCGTGATAAACACTACTGCCTTGCGGATTATCGTAGAGTTGACCCAAATATCTGACGACGTTGCTTTCATGTTACCGTTTGTCTCTCGTATTTCCTCCCATGCGTGGATCAGTGTGTTTTGTTTTCTTTTCCGTCCTCATTGCTTTACTCAGAAGGCAGTAGAGGCGGGGTCTTGCGTCTTCTTTGAGCACTTAGCCGTCGTAATTTATTGGGAGTGGAAAAAAGAGCGCTTTACTGCCTCTACGAACGGGCCGGTGACTGTGGTGTGAGTTTTTGTCTAGTGGTACATAAGCAGATCCAAAAAAATGCGGATTTTCGGATCTGAGAGAGGTACAAAGCGGAGGAGTGAGAGATGGGACGGACGTGGTTGTGGAGACTAGGCGACAGGAGGCGAGAGCGTGTGTGGAGACGACGTTGTCGTGCTGAGTCACATGCCTGCCCGCTGCCTGTCTGCCTGGTTGCCTGCCGTTTTTTCAAGACTCGGCGCCACTGCCTTCTGCCGCTGCTGCTATAGCCTCTGCCATCACTGCTTTTGCTTCTCACGAGTCGTAGTGTTACGTGGCGGGATGATGGGAGTATGTAGTGTGAGACATTGATCTGATCAGTCACCACCGCATCTACTTAAATCAAATTTTCTCTCTCGTACCTCTCCCCATCGTTTTTTCCTCTTCCGTCTCTAGACGTTACTTGTACGAGAAACGCAGGCGGTTCTAGTCGATGTTTTACTCCATCAGACTCGAATTGAGCGAGGGTCCAGTCGCAAAAGAGTGTAGATTTTTTGTAGGATAATTTATTGTTGCCTGGCGATCTCAATTTATGCTTGTAGGGAACCTTATATCTCGACTTCTAGAGCGAGAGAGAATGCGAGAATTTAGCATGTGACTTACGAAGCTAACTCCCAAGCGATCCCCTCTGGTCAGTGAGACTGTGAATCCTCCTCCCAAACATTCGTTCAGCGTTTACACATTGGCATGAGGCTGGGTTAGGTGTGCTTTTATATAATAGGTTTTAGTAACTTGGAGTGGAATTAGTGTGCATATGTATGGACGAGTGATTCAACCAACCTTACCTCATCGGCAAAAACATTACCACCCTCATTACTACCATCATCCTTGATTTTTTCTCTTCTTCAACCTTCTTGTTCGCGCCTGACAAGCCCTGGACTGAACCAATCAACGCTCAGTATTGACGTTTTCCTCTCGTAGTCGTCGTGGTTCTTCCGTTCTTTCTCTCCCACTCCCTCTCTCTCTTGCGCTCTCCCGCCACCACCGCCCCCCTTCTCTCACCTCCCCATGACCACCCACCTACCCATCCAACCACCCAGGCGCGACTAACGCGCACACACATCCGCACGCCCACCGTCTGTGTGTGCGCTGTGTATGTACGCGCGCGTGAAGGGGCACACGTTCGCCTCGCTTGCGTGCGTGCGTACGTGTTACATTCTGCTCTACTTGGGTGGGCTGTCCATACGCACACACTCTAGCTGGATGAGTGGTAGCAATGGCGCTTCTTTCACTTAGCTTTCATCCGTCCGTCTGTTTTTCCTTCCATCCATCCACTCAATCCCCTTTATGCATGCGTGCACGTACGTGCGCAGTGTCATGGCCAATCGATTTTCCAATGCATTGAAGTGATGGACACGCACGGCACGCTAGTGTCCATCACCATCGCGGTGTGTGTGTGTGTGTGTGTGCGTGTGTGCGAATGGGGGTTGGCGTCTTTTTTTCCTGCAAAAAAAGCATCTTCACTCTTATATACGATTTATGTACTGTCATCGGTTCGTGAATTTGATCAAGGTTGCTTCTTTTTGCCCCCAGCCCTTGCCATTTGGGACACAGTTGTTTGGTAAATCGAACTGGCTATCAAAAAAGATTTTAGCTTAAGATTTTCCTACTTTGAAAACCCAGATTCCAGTATTTACATTTACTTCGTGGTCAGGTGTTGCTTTACTAGAACCTGTTGCGATTATTCCTCGGACAAAGTGTCTAAAAGTGAGATGGCTGCAAGTTTAGAGCAAATGCTTTTTTCTTTCCATCAACCAATGAATTTTTTGCTTTATCTCCATTTAAGAATTGGTCTTTTCGTCCTGAGAATTGTGTCATTCTTGGTGTCATCCGATTCCTGCCTTACGAACGCTTACATTACCTGTTCATCGTCAAGTCTTGGCACTTTGGAGAGAAAAGGCAAAACAATTCATTAAATGCTATACTGTTTTTAGTGTAAAAGTGTTTACCTAAAATACCTCAAAATTTGACACGCCTTTTTTGCATTTTCAAAGAAAAGAGAAGCGTTTTAAAAGGAGTATCATAGTTTCCGAGCCTCCTAAGTAAGTTTCGCAGTGCTATGCGCAGTCAAACAGACTGTGAGGGAAAGATGCGCTATAAACCCCCCAATGACCTGAGCAATTATCTAGTAGTCAAGATCGTTAGATGACGTCATGCCGCCGTGTCACCAAAGTTCTTCCACCCCCTCCACCTCCGCCTCCCACTCCCTTGCCCCACCCATCTTTGGACCACGTAAGCTATTTCATATGTGCGTGTGTGGAGGTATATGCCTATGATTAGCGTCTGCTTCTGGTGTGCTTGCCTTCGCTGAAGGTGCAGCTAGATAGTAAGCGCTTGTGTGATACCTTGTCGTGGCTGACAGCTCGGAGATGCACATGCCTGTCTCACCCCGTGTCAGTCATCGCAACCATCAGTAGTAGCGTTGCTTTCCTATCCATCACATCTCCCCCTCGCCCTCCTTCACTTTTCCCTGCCTTGCCAAACTCTTCACACTATCACATAGACGCAAACACACACAGCTGTTGCAGAGTCATGATTTCTCTCTCGTAGAATCTTGGTGCTTTGGGGAAGGCACAACAAATTCTCGTTGGGAATAGCCCACATAATTCGGTTCTAATCAACTTAATTTTGTTAGATTAACTAAACTGAACCAACGTAGCTGCTTCTGCTTTTACAAAACGATGGGGGAAAGGTATCCAACTTTGCCGTTGACTGAAAAACATCGATCCTGAGAGATATGATGTGGAAATATGGTTGATGAGATGAGGTAGTTGCCTGTGCGTTTCGTGTTGCCTTCCTTTCGAAGTCGTTACTGTCATTCATTCCATCGCACGCACGAGCCTACTGGCTGCCTGTCAATTGCCTCTCAGGCGTGCAGGTGCGCATCTCCCACCTACACTCCCACACCATAGACTTTCCCCTTCTCATTCCCCTCTCCCACGAGGATCATTCCGATCGTGAGCGCATTCTCTCCCTTCAACTGCTCATCATTATTCCCCTTTCCTCAGCCTGATGGTTGATTGATTGACTGGCTGACAGATTTTGCCTTCGTCGACATTACAAACAGAGTAGCATTGTTTTTCGTCGACTGGCATTCGCGCAAACCATCGCAGTTCTCATCACTCCAGTCACGCACGCGCTCACTTTCTCGCTCCCCCACAAACCTGCAGTGGTCACCATCTTGGCATCACGCGTTTTATTCAAGAGTGACGGGGGTGCTGTGGTTTGATTAAAAAGCACGTGCTTTGTGCTTGATGTATAATTTTTATTATGTCTAGCCCTCTTTTCCTTCCGATGTTGTTGCCGTTTATCCTTCTCTTACCCCTTTTACACTTATGCCACCCCTAGCCAGAAACCACTTCTCCCAATCCTTGTTAGAGGTACTCATGCGAGACAGAGGTTCTCGCAAAACCAATAAAGTGGAAGTTGGGGTTTCTGCTTTGCACCGGCTATATTTCATCTCTAGTGGTAACGACCAACTTCTCGCCTAATTGTCAGGACGCTTTTATCAGCTACTATTTTGAAGCATCCGGATCGTATTGGAGGTCTGCTAAGTGTCTCCTTTTCCACCTCTTTCATTGCCTTATCATCTCCTTTTTTGTGTGATCTGGGATCTTTGTATTTGGATCGCGATGCTGGTTATTTTTATATATACACGAAAGGGTCTTATTGATAGGATATTTGCATGTTGGAGACCAGACTTCTCCTCTCGGCTTTTCAAGTTCACGACTGGACTTTTTTGGAGTCAACAAAGGTCCTAAAAATCTACCTTTTGATTGTCGACAGCATTTAGATCCAACAGCCTTGTGTTCAATTATATAATCATTCTGGAACTAGTGGCCTTTCGATACACCGGAGTACCCTACTCCATGCCACGAAACTTGTTCAACTTGTGTGTTTACTAAGAATAGGTCACATTATACCTTTTGAGATAGACGCTTTTAAAGCGTGCGCCTGACTTGGACTGTTTTGAATACATAGTAGTGGTGTCGGTAGGCCAGATGACTACCCATCCCCTTTAATAATTTCAGGCCCCTAACGACTCTCCTATATACCCCGCGGCTCTGACGCACCGACAGGTCTCCTACGGAGAAGGCGATGGAGGCAACGGCGGTGGTCTTTTTACCCGCAATGCGGCTGCCACCACCTCGGTCTCTGCTTACGGCGCCAACGGGGACTACTACCAGCAGCTGCAGGCCCATGCGGCTAACACTCGCCAACTCCTCGCCGATGGCGCTTTCAATGCTGCATACTCCCAAGGTGGCGGCGGTGGTGGTGAGTCCGAAAGCATAGATACTCTTTTAATGTGCACTACTGTTGATTGAGAATGTGCTAAAGTTGCATCGAATTGGGGAACCATTTATGGCGCGTCCCCTCCGGATTTTCCCAACTCATGGAACACCTGTCTATGTAAGGGCCGTGATGGGTCTGTACTGGCAACCAGACTGAGTTTAATGTACGAGTTTTTAGATATGGAATGAATGAAAAGCCCAAATTTTCCTATCCAGACATCTTACATCATGTGGTAGTTACTATAGTCAAAATGAAAGCTTGCATATCATTTGTAGCAATCGAGTCAATTAGAGGTGAAACTTTGGAATATTGTTTTGTGGACAGTTTTTTTAATTTATAGTCAAACCGTAGCAAAGTTTACTTATCATTTTACTGGCTGCCTTGGGAGTGGTTGATCAACGTTGAAAGTGCTGCCGGTGTAAATTTGCATCTGTGGCCGGTGATTTTTGGCTTAATGAACAGCCCGCGCATACAAACACCCATCCAGGTACACCCAAGCAGGCATAAAGCCACGAAAGCAAAAAATCCGGCAAAGTGGGGCACATACACACACAGAGAGAAGGGAAGTGTGTGCTTTGGCAGGGGCGGTGTGTGTGTGTGTCACGTGTTTTGTAACAGCGTCTGCTTCGCCTCTACACCGCCTCCTCGACCCCTTCCCTGTGTGTGTGTGCGTGCGTGCGTCAGCTTTCTGTCGCGTGTGTGGCGATGCACGCACAACATTTATGCGCGGACGCGGTTGCGTGCACACCCACAGTGCACCCAGTCCACTTCCGGTGGCGTGATGGTGGTGGTGCATATCTGTGTACTCATCCATTCGTCGTCTGTCTGTCCCAAGCGCGCACCCATGCATGCGTGCACAGGGTAGACGGACAGGTAAGGGGTGGGTTGTCCAGCCGGCCAGGCAGTCAGCTAGCGGCGACTTGCATATGTGCGTGTACGTGGGTGTGTGTGCGGTTAGTCTGTCCTCACCGTGACAGAGAGGGAGGTGAAGGGGAGATAGGGTGAGCCAGGGCGATAAATCATTCATGCGCGCTCGCGAGAGGAGATGATGCGTCGCCGTCTTCGTCGTCGTCGTCGTCGACACCGCTGCCGCCCAAGGCCCACAAATAGTTGTGAGGGTGGCGGTGGCAGAGGTGGTGGCGGCGGCTAACCTGGCCTGCACGTTCACACCAGTCTTTCATCTCTCGCATTATACTGTCGTCTGAAGAAGATGGGAGGCAACATCAGCAACGTAATACCTCTCAGGCATAGGCAAAGTAGTTGACTTTGACTGAGATACGGCATTCCTAGTTTTTCCTCCAATGTTCAATGGGACGCAGAAAAATGCGAAAATTGATCTCAGCTATGTTCCAACTGATTTCCAGTTGCTGAATATCCTCAATTTACCCTAGTCGTCCATGTTATTGGCCTCGTCAACAAGAGGATGTGCGATGCCGCCTGGTTTTTTCTAGTATAGTCTACAGGTCTTATAAAACGAATCGTGCTTATGAACCTCGAGACTCGATGCCATTGTTCACTGGTTCAGCCAATGTTTATATTGTTGGCTTAGAAGGTCGTAGAATTGGGCGTTTTAGATTACCTTAGTTGTGCCAACTTTACTGGAATGAAAACTTGAATAAGGTGTGCAAAGCAATGCCAATTTTATGACATGGTTCTATCTGCAGAGCCTTCGACATTTAAAACGCAACCAATCATTGTGTTTTCTTTTTACTAACAGTTATTACTTTCCTACTAAAACTACTCGAACTCTGGTCGGTTTCTTGTATTTAAAAAGGGTTAGTGCTATGTAAGTTTTACTTCTAGTTCTTTACGTACGCATGCAGTCCTCCACAGTGCGCTTTTTGTGGCCCACTGTTGCCTCATTCTAGATTTAGCTTGATGCAGGCTACCAGCGGAAACGCAACATCGATTGAAGATAAGCACATGACTCTCTCTCTCTTTCGCGTCGAAGGACGCACAGTTACTGAATACCACGCAATGCTTCAGGCGTGTTTCCTTTTGCCGCAAAGGCAGTCAGCCAACCAGCCATGGGTTAAAAATAGCGGCAGCCACACAGCTCTTGCTTGCCTTCCCTCATGCTGTGTTGTGTGTACGTTCGTTCGTCCATCCTTCCGTCCATTTGTCGCTCCTTCCTTCCTCCCCCCTCCGTCCCCTCCCCTTCTCTTCCTCTTCTTCGTCCCGCCACCACCACCATCCCCTCTTTCTTGTCTCCTCCTTCGCAAAACCCTAGCATGAGAGGGGGCTAAGACTTTACTGGGATTGTCGGGTGTGTGCATAAGGCTAAAGGTTGGTTTACCCAGTGCACAAAGGAGTGAAAATTGATGCGGAGTTTGTGTTGATTTCAAGCCACTTGTCTGCCACCCTTCGAATCGCTTGGCAGCTATCTAGGTGGAATGGGGATTGGATCGTGGTTTCAATTTGATTCTGTTGCTCCCCTTAAAGAGGATGCACAGTTTTTAAAAGCTGATAAAGATGGGAACGGCTGGTAATGAAGCTTTCACCGAATCGTTTGTTGTTCACGTGGTCGAAGAGACTTTTGTAAATGCTGAAACAAGGATGAAAGTGTGTGCGCACGAATGGTCGTGAAAGCGTACCTAGTTACGGTGCATTATAGTTTTAATCTAGCGTTAGAAGAGATTCTATGCATTATATCCACAAGGTCACATGAATTTCTGTGTACAAATGCGTGTGTAGCCACCTAAACCCATACAAAAGTTCGCAACCCAGGCGACCTAACCTCGTATTATCACGGTAAGGTTATTTCGTACTGTGCGTATGTGTTGGTTATGCTAAAGCTACATATCACCATATTGCTCGAGTTGGATCTAGAGCGCTTTTTTTCACAAAGTTTTGAATCGCTAAGCGCACAAATGAAATGGAGTTTTATTAAAATGGATGAGTTAATTTGAAGGCCTTGAAATTTAACGCACTGACATAGCTTAAGCACACCAAAAGCCATGCTAACAGACGGAACGAATGTTTGACACGAAGTTTTCACCTCATTCGACAAAGGAGACATAGGGACACATCCGAAACTGTGCCAAAACACGGTCAACCATGAGGTGAATGCGGAGAGAATTTACTTATTGCTTAACAAGCTGTGATTTAACCGCTGTGTTTCAGGCTCGAATATCCATTCATACGCGGGTGGTGGCGGAACAGGATCAGGCGGGCAGCTAGATCTCTCCGTGTCAACTGGAAGTCGATCCTTCCAGCAGCAGCAGCAGCAGCAGCACCAACACCAGCCCTCGAATTCTCCCTACGGTCTGGACTCTGGGGTAGCACGATTCGGTAGCGGCGGGGGGTATGAAGAAGGTGATCCCGCACCACCGCACACCTACTACAACACAAATCCGCGCTCCGGCGCGGCTCTACCTCCGCCCTTGGGCATGTACGAGCAAAATTATCGCAACTGTTACCAAAATAACGCTTCAATGACTGCCGCGGCCGTCGCTGCAGCTGCCTACAACTACCACTACCAACAACAACAATTGCAGCAGCAACAACAGCAGCAGGAAGCAGATTCATCCTATGATCGAGCGCCCTACGACTACGGGCGCAACCGGTACTTGTTTTGACAGATCTGAGTGGAAATATGCGTGTGCGTGGGAATGAGAGAGGGAGTCGCAACTGCAACTTAGTGTACATTACTTTGGTGTAGTTCGTCACTCAGATGTGCAATATGCTGACAAGACAGACAGACAAGCTCCCTACATAGTCCCTCACTCTCCTTCCACTCTCCCTCCTCCCATGTATAGTGCATGCTTTAACCGGATATTGCCGAATACCAGAAGCCTACCAACTTTACTCCCATCCCGAAATACACAATCTCCCCCTGCCCGACCCCCTCTCTCGCTCACCTGTTCTCGGCTTCCGTTCCGTATTGCTACTGCTACCGACAGAGTGGCTTTACAGTCTATCCTCACTACGTGTGTGTGTGTGTGGACGTATCTGTGTGCATGCGTAAGATTGCGTGCGTGTATAAAGCAGTATATTAAAGACGATAGAGCTAATACTTCAACTACTTCTACTACGATCGCACAGGTGTGATGTTGTGTGCATTTCCGCTGATTTATATAACCAACGAACAAACCACCCCGACCTGCTGATAAACGAGCGAACGAATTCCCCCCGCTAACTAACCCAGTCTCCCTCTCACCCACTCATCTCCTTTCAATTTCTCCGTACCCCTCTCCCAATATCCCTTTATCGTCACCGGTCCTTTAAATCACCCTCCACCCTCTCCTTTCCTGTCACACTACATCATTGAGCATACGTTAAATACAAAAATTATTCACTATTTATTGTCGAATTAAGGGTGTCGACATGGGATACATGTCCAAATGTTGTGTCAACTTTTCTAATAAATCAAAACTGTAAGTTGATCTTACTGAGGAGTAGTAACGTACAGCTCCAGTAATGAAAACAAAGCGGTATGGAAACATGTGTAGGCTTAAGTCTAGGCTTGTGGTCCAGAGATATCAAGTGGAGTAATGGTTTACATTTTAATCAAATATAGAAAGGCACGATCAGCGTCACGTATGTATGACGCCCCAATTACCATACTTGATCCTGAAAGACATTTACTTAAAGAGAATTGAATTGGACTGGAAAGGAGTAATCAGTGTTGCATTAGAGCAATAAAAAGTGCTGGTTTTAATAGACAGTATCCGGATGAGGCTCGTCCCTTTATTATTATTATTCGAATTAACGTGTCACGAAGTGGCGGAAAGGACAGGATAAGAAATTTTAATACATGTATAACAATGCTCACATACATATGTACATGTTCGCGCGTAAACAAATGTCTATGTTACAGGGAAACGGGACTCGCAGTAGGCATGACCGTTCTCCTCATACTCCCTACGAGTGACTAGGTATTGATCAAAATCGTCACGATTCGAAGCTAACAGAGCGCCTCCTTGCCAAGCATACAGTTGAGGGCTGAAAAAAAAAACAAAGAACACAAGTGAGCAACTTTAAATGACGTAAATCCGACGAGCCCTTTGTCTCGGATTGGAGGGCTGCGGCAGCCCACTCTCCATAAAAAAGAACTTTAGAGACTTCCGAGTCAAATTAGGTTAGTTGAGGCCTTTTTGAACTCCGACCCAAATCACACCCAAAAGCGGTAATAAATGATACCGCCTGAATCAATAAGCGATCATAATCGCGAGCCAAAATCTGCCCTATTCTATGCTCTCACCTGATTGGCTCAAGTCTTCGAGCAGGAAGGAAAATGCGGAGAGAGGATGAAGGGAGGCGAGAGAAAGCTAGTGAGTCACGCAGGCGAGAGCAAAAGACAGGCACACAAAAAAGCAGGAATAGGAAAGTAGGAAGAAAGAAAAGGTGAGAAAAACATGCAAACAACGAAGATGACGACGGGATCGATATCAACAACAGCAAAAACCCCAACGTGCAAGCAGAAAGTAAGTGATGCGTTTGCTCTAACCTTGTACAGCCCTTCATAGTAAGTAAAAATCCTGAATGCTGCGGAGAGATCCGCTTTAGTGGATAGATGGAGAGTGAATAGGATAATTAGACAACTGCGCCCACATGGGTGCGATTGACGAAGCGAAAGGATTAGAGGAGAGGGGCGAAGAGAGGGGTGTTATTGTCCTGTCCCCACCTCAACTTCGGTTACCGACGCGTTAATGACAGGGCGTGGGAGAGCCCACCAGCTGACCCCTTAGGGGCATGGGGGAGGGCAAGAGATGGAGTGACAGCCACACATCACAGGCAGAGGGCACGGACGTGTGCTCTCGGAAGGACCCGGTGATGAATCACCCCGGCGTGTGTCCTGAAAGGGGTGGGGGTAGAGGAGAACGAAAGGACGGGGCAGGTGGTGGGAGGAAAGAAGGACAGCCGGATTTCTGCTGCTGCCTCTGCCTCCACCACTGCTTACGGTAGTAACATCGCCGGTGAGTCAACACACGGACATGTCCGGACAACTAGATCATGCTCTAACTAGTAGGCACTCTGAGTTGCTGCTGCTGACTTGCCTGCGGGCAAGCTTGTCCAAATCTGCAGCCACAGGACAATGGATTGGTAGGGGGGAGGGGGAAATAATGGCCTTCCCATTACAGTGAAGGCAACTGTTGCTCGGAGCACTTAAACTGCCTACGACGCAGACTAGACCGTCCTCTCAGCGGATGATGGGAGCAGATGCAAATGAATGCAATCGATATTTGAGAACACTAGGGGAAAAAGAAGACCCAATGGGTACATAAAGCGACGTATTCACAAGGAGAATCGAAATAAAGATTAGCAGAAATGACGCTTTAAGAATGTGAAGACGTATTGATGTCATTTCCTAAAACTACATAAAAAACCACATAAGGAAGAGTTGAAGTAGGGAGATGCAATGGTGACACATCACACCGACAAATGGAGGGCAGACGACGCAAGTGAATAGAATCGGTGTTTGATAAAATCAAGGCAAAAGAGAGGCTTCAAGTATGCAGTACAGTGTTTCCAGAATGAGGATTGTCAATCAAACGGATTAAATTCTAAATGTTTAGCTGTCTTTTTGCAGGGGAATAGAACAAATAAATGAGCATGTTTCTCAAGATTGACTAAAAATGCGCAGACGAATGAGTAGGTGATGCAGTAAACAAAGGCAGCAGATTATAAAGTTAGGTTGACAAAAAAGAGGACCACAGGACTCTAACGAAGTTTGAAACAAGAAAAGGATCCTTGAAGGAATTGCGAACGAGATGTCGACCGAGGGACGAAAGAGTAATGCAACAGGAAACAGTGTAAGATCAGAGGGTCACTAGACAGAAAGTCGATGATGTGAAAACGAGCAGACGTATGTAAATTAGCCAGCACGCGTCGTTGTCGCTGTCGCCTGTGTACACATGCATACACACGGTCAGTGGGGTGTCTGATTCAGGTCAGACAGCAATTAATTTAACTGGGTTACCCGCAGAACGCCGCCTCTACCGCCTTTTGCCTCCTCTGCTTCCACCTCCTCCTCCTCCTGCACCCCCATGACGCGGGCTGCTTTGAAGACCGCTTGCATGCCTGCACAGACAATTACATCAGCTGTTTCTCTCCCTGTGTACATCTCTGTGTGTATGTGAGCGCGCGCCTACAAGGTGCTTGAAATTTACGATCCCATTATGTGCACACACACACACACACATCGGTCGAACCGGGTTGGGGCAGTCCCATGCTTACTTAAAAACAAAACACCAGGTCTGCAGTACCTACCACTACTACACGTTTACCCCTTTCAGTCGCCTGCGATTCAGCATATGCTACCAATCGTCCATCCTTATGAAGTCCTTAGGCGAAGAAATATAGCCAGTGATGATCCGTCAATACCAGCCCGTTTGCTGTAGTAAAGTCAGCACCAGAGAAAGGGAAACTGCGAGATAGCAACTGCGAGTAGCAGCACTGCTACTACTTTTTTTCTGCCATTGCTACGGCTAGAAAAGGGGGTTTTCTGATTGACTCCGGGTGATTAAGTAAATGATAAACTATCCACGAGCAACAAAGGGAGCCATTCATAATGAGCTCCAGCCATCATAGAATCTGGAGCTAGAAACAAGATAGAGCAGAAGCGATTAGTGACTCAGTGGCAGAAGTAGAACATTTCAAAAATGGAAATGAACTTCCCTTACAAAAGGTTAAAGCTAGCGGCAATATGGGAATCAGTGAGGTGTCAGTCAATGGAGAACGGAGTAACTAGGTAGACTCAAGAAAGAAGAGACACTTTGGAAGCACGTGCACCATAAAATGAATTCTTATCCAGTGCTTGCAACAAACGAGGTAATGCACTTCGATCATCTGATAGTCATTTGAAAGAACAGAAAAAACAAAACTGCATCGGATTAGAACCCAAACGAACTTTGCTGCACGATGATGCGGCATAGGTAAAATGGAAAAAAACATGATGATGCGGGTGGATCACTACAGAAGAGTTAAGAGGAATGTATTCCATCGGCAAAGGTTAAAGGTGTTTCAGAATAGCTCCCATTAAATGCATCTACACAGCTCCATAGGGATGAAGAATTTTCGCTACAGAAATGTGATAGAAGGAAGCGCCAAGGCGAATATACACAAATCTAGAACTGGAGTGGGGTTTAGTGGCAGTGGCACCCATTACAGAAGTTGACTTTAAGTAACCTTCAACAGTTGTATTAGAATCACAGTGGCGAGAGGCTGACAGGCATCTGTTACGGTAAAAATGCTGATTTTGGAGAAATAAAAACACATCTTCCAGTTAACAAGTGATGGAATCATCACTTCACTATTGGAAACAGAATGGGCAACAATAGCAATGATGATGATACTAGTAAGGGGAAGATGCTTAAGAGCGAGTTCATTACGTGATATGGAGAGGAAAATAAACGCCAGTCTGGTGAGGGAAGAGGCGCAGTGAACGCCGATTTCAGAGAGAAAAGGCAAGAAACAGAAAAGTGCGCTGCAGGTGTCTACAGAAACTATTGAAAGGCCAGTTTTCCAGAGATAAAACAATGAATCTAATAATCAAAGAGTAGAAGAGGAAAATTAGCTTAAAATTGAGGAAATCGCAATCCATGTTCTCGTTCAACTATTTACCAGCCTAAAGGCCATAACGCTGAGGCAGGAGTCAGAAGGACTAAACAAATGGCCGTTTTCTTGGGAAAAAAAGTCGCAGATTTTAAAATCCAGGAGTAGAAGAACTACCCACCTCAGCTGTACAAGATTAAGGCCCCTGCTTGGGAGGGCAAGATTATCTAAGAAAATTACCTGGCCAGAAATCACACTGCGAGTGATACAGTACAAGTCCTAGCCGCTGCTTGTACGGTCAGCAGAGGACTGACTCTGGGTCATGGGACTCAATGCCCCAAAAGGACTCTCACCAAAGTTTTCCAAGCACCCGACAACTGAGAACCAATGGGAACAATCTGAAATTAGGCAGCCTACCTTATTAGAACGCAGGATGAGTGAACCTTACGAATTCGAATAGATAGTTTCGGAATGTGCAATCATAAAACACACCCCAGTAACTAATGGTAAATTGTGATGAAGGAAAGTGGTCGGGTTACCCGAAGTACCCCTTTAATACGAACTCGTGGTTCCTCATTCAAGTGAGTACCTAGAGGTTTTGACAACAAATTTGATGAGTATTTATTTCACCAGGTAATAGACTAAATCACTACGGTAGGAAACCCAACGTAGGAGAATACATTTCATAATTTACAGGACAAATCCTCTCACCCGTGCTCCTGATAATTTGTAAGCAATAGCCTCCAATTCACAACCGAGCAAAGATTTCAACTAAGGAAAGAAGGCGAAATCACACGATATGAAATATACAAGTAGTAAAGGCGATTATCATAGACTCGCTGCAGATATTTTCGTCTCCGGGATAACAACGCACCATAAATAATTTTACTTACCGACTATTTGACCGGTTGAAAGAAATTCGTAATGCACAAAGGAGGGCGCAGCAAACAATAGTCGTAATGAAGGAGACTTCTGCGCACGCAAGGAAAAACAGGTTACAATACAGGTAATAATAAAATACGTTCGACGAAAAAAACCTACGCACATGCAGAGTAGGAATGAATCGTTATCTAAAATTAGAAGAGCTTTCACGAGAACGATTTCAAAGACACAGGAATAGGTTTACAGTAAGGGAAATTTGTGACCTGACAGGACGACGAAATTTCTCGGAGGTGGGGTATGCACCATTCATGATATTTATTTGCCTACTTTCACTTTTAAACAAGGAAAAGTGATCGGAAAATGGAGTAGGGCAGAATAATTACTTGGCTCAACCACGAAGACCAAAATAAAATAAAGCGAAATTAAATAGAGATGTTGCTGATGATAGCACAGGGGGTAAAGGCAATCCCGGAATAAGCTATCACCAACTCAACCCATGCGAATTCCAAAAATCCAGTTTGATTGCATTACCAGTGATTTAATTTTCAATATACCGTATCACCGGGACTCAGGTGCCATAGTTTTACCCCCAAAAACAAAGAAAATGTCAGGAACCTGAGACTATTGCTAAGCCGGGATAACCAAAATACATGTGGAACCTAGGAAACATAGCAATTAAATGAACCACTTCGAACCAAAAAATTGTTCAACGAAATATGCAAAAATAAAAGTTTGATTGTGGAAAAAGCAACGAGTGGCTCGTTACGAGCTCAACTACAAGGGACCTCTTCATGCGAGAATACCACACCCTTGAAACCGCCCCACATGCCACTGAGATGAAGGTCATCTGACAGTGAGCGAAACAAATCTTCGATTCACAAAAAGGCGGAGTTTACCTGTACCCGATCATGCCTGTAATATAATGAGTCATGAAGTCACAGGCATGATCAGGCGGTAAGAGGACTGTAACATTCAATCCGGCACCAATTTTGAACGGAGTATTATTGACCTAAAGATGGAAAGCATAAATACCCCGAAAACCTACAGTGTTCTAGGAATAGTCGCAAGAGTTCCATGTAATTATCCCACATATCCCGCAAAAAACTCAGATCAGATGGAAAATGCACAAAGGGCTAGGTCGAAGTATCCTAGTCAAACACGCCTGAAGATAAATACAGTGATACCAAATCGACTTTGTATGTGATTGGGAATAGAGGACTACTTACAATGAACGACCAATAAAACGAGAGATCTGAACTTAAATGCCTACGTTGGGTAACGTTTTGCAGCTACCAGAAAGCAAGTGAAGTCAAATAAGTAGCCAGGATGGAAGGAAATCAAAAGAAAGGGATAAAACTTAAGATTCAGGACGTTAGCACCTACAAGTGTGAACGTCTGAACAAAGCTTCTAAAGGGATGGTCACATGGTCAGGCACCAAATCCAAATGACACCACACAGGCCTCTACAATTACAGCTAGCTAGCCAGAGAGCGAGCGCAGGGTGATCCGCGTGAAAGTCGAGCGATTTCACACGTGCAAGAAGTCACACCTACCATACTCACATCTGCATTTTGAAAGCTCGCAACGAGCACAATATGTTTCGTGTCTACGCTGGAGTAGCCTACCCAAAAGCCTGATAGTAATGGGATCAAAAAAGAGTACGGCGAATTAAACTACTAACAATGCAAAAACAGTACAGGGGAGGGGAGTTTTGATGAAGAGTCTCCCCTTTGCGCGTGGGTGGTTGTACCTCTTCTGTGAGTGAAAGAATACTGGCTAACTTATTAAAGAGTGCGTCAAAATGTGGGAAGTTAAGGAGAAGAGAAATAATAGATAAAAGTGGAATTTACGATTAAACAGGTGGCAACAGATTATGGGATAAAAACGGGAATAGAGTGTTTCTTCGAGCGTTGAAGCAAAGTGGGGATGACGTGCATACCAAATAGCCCACTTAAACAAATTGTACAACGAATAAGAAGAATTAAAAACACTGAAAAGAAGCGAAAATGGTAGCTATTTAGAACAGCTTAAGTGAGAAGCAAAATAATCTTTTGGTACAAATGATAACATACTCAGGTGGAGCGCAGACATTCACGGGCAAGTCGTGCGGAACACAGCTGCGAAGATCATTTAACCTAGAATACAGAAAATAATTAGGTTCCAGAAGAGTTCTGGTAGACGCATTCAAGCAGAAAATTTCCGTGCAGCATTATGCGGGAACCCTTTGACAAAGAACCTTAAGCGGGAAGTCTACTATAGTGAATTAAGTAGCAACCGCTGTGCAGGGATGTAGATACAAACACGCGAAACACCTTCGAGTCAAGGTGTCCCAAGTACACAAAGAAAGGGATTATTTTGTACAGATAATTGGTAGAAAAGGCAATACAGAAGTATTGAAAATGCTAAAAGGCGAAATACAGTTATTGTGAATAATCAGCCTTCGTTGCAGGACTTATTCTCGCCAAGTAGCAATAAAATATCACTAGAAAATTGCTAGAGACTGGCCCCTTGATTCATTTACTCGAAAAAATCTTAAGCATTTAGAACTAAGAATCTTTTTAAAATATGCAGGCATCTTATGATGGCTCATTTTGTTAGAACAATTAAAAAGTACCGTATCGAGGGGAAAAGTAAGTAGGTAAAACTCTGGCGCATTTCCGATGAAAAGAAAGAGGTTCGGATTACAATCAATCGTAGAACACAGCTGATTTATAACATGATTTACAGACCAAGTTGTAAACATCACTGAAAAAATCACTTGAGAAATCAACAAACTGGAAAAGTCCAGTCATGGACTTTGACCACAATCTCGACAAATATTAAATGAAGACATCAAGAAATCTCTACTCAGTGCACTACAGTAACTCAATCCTCCTTAAGCTCAACACTACCAACCCGCAAGTTCCTCTTCAGTGCACCTAGATAATCTCATCCAACCAATTTACATTAGAAAGCATTACGATACAGAAAAATGTGCGCACACAAAACCCACACTCTTTCCTTATATCCAGAGAACTTTGAGTTGCCTCCAATGAGGAGGACATTGGCCATAGCGCCGGGTCGAACACCAGGAGGGAGGCGTTCAGTGAGAAGATATTGCGCAGCCTCCGAGATGCCCATCTCGGTGTAGCCGACGTCAGAAGGGTGGAAAAGGAGCTCAGGCACTGTAAAACGTTCGTTGCTGAGACGCAGGATATAGCCCTGCAATTTGGTCCGATCAACAGCATCTTTTGGCTTCTCCGAGGGATCACGTAGGTAGCCTCGGTGCACGTCAATGTAGTCTGGGAGTACATACTCCCTAGCTATCGTGTTGACTGAGAGATCACGGGACCTAGAAACGGTAAATAGGTAGATGTGGTGCAAATGTGAGATAAAAAAAGTGACACTCGTTGAACTGGGAAAGGCCAGTAGTCTCTCAAGCCCTTCATGCATATTCTTAACAAACCCACGTCTAGGGTCATTAGCAAACTCACTTTAGAATGGAAATCTCTGCTTCGCTGGCTGAATACTATACGACGAAACGGTATAGAAGTTTTGTGCAATGATTGGAAATAGAAGGGTCGAAATCACAAATAAAAGATTTGCTTATAATATTAACAAAAATGAATCATGCCTCTCGATGTGGTAAGTAGATGAAAATAACTCAGGTAAAAATCGGATAGCATTAACATGGTAAACACAGATGGTACTATATGCGCCCTACTAAGGGTAAATGCTACTAAGTAAAGGAATCACCGCAAGGAAAGGATTTACCGTAAACAATAATTCAGTTTCTAACAATGCCTTATAGATAACTTTCAAAGGGGTTTACAAAGAGATCGGAATTTATTATCCTATTAAAACCACGGAATTAACAAGTACTCTAGCATTCTGAATCCATCTTGCGAATGCTAAAGCACTAATCATACTGATTTTATTACTACCTTGGCATTAAGGTTAGCCAAAATCTTGTGACAACAGACCAGAGGAAACATCATTGACAGTAGAGTACGATACCGAAAAGGAGAATCCGAGATTGGGGCAAAGAGCTCCATCCATACCGCCTACATAATCAGTCTCTTAGTCCCTTTATCCACTGGGACAACTCAGGTGCCAGAATGGAGACATTGCGAGTGATTTTCAAAGGGTTGCAAATAGATATTGCATGCCGAAGTAAGAAACGTGGAGCAACAGCGGAGCTTACATTCAAGGCAAAACTCACTTGGCACAAGTGAGGTCAGCCCAAAAATCGGTGGACACGAAGCATCCATCTTCTTTGCACTGATTCATGATGTAAACCTCACTTCTTACGTCAAGTTGACGGTACGACGTGACTTCTATCAACCGATTTGTCAAGATTTTACCACCAACGGAGAGCCTAGTGAAGATAAACTCAAATGTTTTGTTATACCTCAAAGCGAATTCCCTCATAATATTCCCGTCGGCCATGGGCAGTATGTGAGTGAAAGAGTAACCGCTGTCAATGATTAGGGAATACCGAGAGAGGCGTTGAGATGACTCAGCTCGATATTTGTATGCGGCAAAAAAAGCAGCTAAAGAGTGGCAAAGGTGAGAAATGGAGCCTACGATTAGTTCGAAGAAGGCCGGCGACACGATATTCCTCGAAAAACAACTCGTTCATAGTCTCTTTCGTAGAGGTAAAGTTGAAATAAGGTTCTGTGATAAAGAGGTTTAAAGATGCCATATCAAGTGATCTCTAAAGGACGCTATTGAAGACGTGAATGCTTACAGAATTGATGTAACGGCACAGCACACTATCAAGGATCTGTTTCTGGGTATCCCAATTGTTAATATAACCCTATCAGGGTAAAAAGCTGACAGAACCAGACCTTTTTGAAGGGATATATTCCGAATAAGCTTGAAAGATTCTTGCACTCTTCGATTTCACTACCAATGAAATTCCGTCCTGTAACATTTTTCGACTTGTAAATGCAGTTATCAACACACCTGGGAAACTGAAATGCAGCTAGTTAAATACCTAGGGACTTTAACAGAAGAAAGACCGAATTTGATTGAACCACCACCCAAATCGACAACTAAGCACTGAGGGGCCATGAATTCTAGCAGGTATACAACGGACAGTCCCAAAGTATGACAAACCGGTTCAAATTCCCGCAATTGTAAACAAAAAGTTAAAACAAAAAACCCTAAAACCATTTTTGCTTGTCCTTAAAATACCCTGATATGCCTACTAGAATAATAAATTGACAAATAGGTAACAAATTTGCCTTCAATGCTTGCGCAGAGAAACGTTAGTATTACCGAGAGAAAGACCAGTCATTTTTGTGGAATTTGCTGAATAACACTATTCTCTAAATGAATCATAACATAATGTGATTAAAAAGGAAAGACAGATATGCAAGCAAATTGTATAGTTTAAGTGGTTTACTATTGAAGTTTATTATTCCTCTCTGGGGATCCGCCTAAATGTCACTGCAGATGATTACGACAACATTACTGCTTTTTTGTAATAGAACAATTTGTCTAAGCATAAAAAAATATTATTTGGTACCACTTTTTTACAGTGAGTTGCCGGATATACTGTAGAATTTTTGCATAATTGTCTCAACTAAGTTCGATTAAAGCTTATTAATCAACGAGACTGATTTCTAGAAGACCTAATTTGTTGTTAAATTGAGGACTAGTTTAAGATGTGTAGGACTGTAGAAGGCCAAAGTTTGTAGATTTCTTTATGATGGAGTTCATAGAATTCCCAGATTCGTCCTACTGAACTTCTTGTGACCTGGAAAGTTATATTGAAAACGTCCATCGCATGGCTCCTTCTTTGCCTCGAGTGCTGTCCAAGGTAGTTCCCTTAGATAGTGTTTCATACTATCTGGCTGTACGTGAGTTACCACAAAGACCTTCTCCTTCTGTCAAATTAGTGGTATATCTTAATAAGATTTCATTCTATAATGATGGACCACAATCGGTCGTGTACCCCACTACTTACTGCAAGCTAAATAATTAAGCTAGACTTATGTGGTTCCTTGTACAAATGGGCCACCGAGTGGTCTATATTTTTTATTTCCTTTGATCATGTCATCTCTTGGTAATCTGTCCTCACTACGATATTTTTGCTATTAAAGATCATTTACTAGGTGTTGCTTTTCTATCGCATCCTTTTGAAAAGCTTGGTGTCAGCATAAGTAACGATGTGCTCTAGCCTTTGGTCGTCCTTCCTAAGAGCGCATCATCCACAGCTGTATTGCTGGCATTAGTATCTGGAATAAATGGCAGGTCACCTGCCTCAAAATCACAGGTAACTAAAATCGGTGTAAAACAAAAAACACAATTGCGGTTTTAGCGAGACCTTTTGTAGCACGATAGTGGTTTATCCCTCGGTTCTGGTGAGG